CGGCGGGCTTTAATAGCAGCCTTGCAAAGAGGAGCTGGGTTGCGCTGGTCTCAGTGGTGGCAGAAGGAGCAATGGGCTCACGTGGCAGCCAGGGAGCTCTGGGTGAGGTTGGAGGTTAGGAGGCATTTTTCGGGAAACATTTGAAAAGGTTTGGAGGACCCCGGGGTGATGTTGATTGAGGCTGGATGAGAGGTTGTTTCCTCACCCTCATTTTCTGTGATTCATGGCGCAGCTCTGCAAACGAGCACTCCCGAGGTCTTAAATGCTGGCGGCTGCAAGTGGCCGAGGAGGCGGCGGCATCCGCTCCCTGCGCCGTGCGCCCCAGGTTTCTGGGTGAGATGGACCTCTGCTTTGACCCAGTAAATGGCCGTTCCTATATTTTGATGAGCTGTGAGAGCAGGAGGCTCAGAGGCAGGACTCTGGTCCCCGCACCTCGAAAAGGATCTATGAGAAGTAGAGAAGGGCAGCACGGATGATTAGGGCTATAAAGGGGCTTCCAAGTGAGGAGAGACTAATGAGGCCAGGCGTGTTCAGGTTAGAAAAGAGACGCTTGAAGGGGGGACAGGAGAAGGGATTACTCGATACTAAATGGCGAAGAGAATCCGTAGGGATTTATTATGGACTCTCTCTCGCCCGACGAGAACGAGGGGTCACAATGTGGAAGGAGCCAGCTTAAAAGAAACACCAGGATGATTTTTTTTTCACGCAGCGCATCATTACCGGGTGGAGCTCCTTGCCACCGGATGTGGTGGAAGCTGCCAGTTTAGCCTGATTCACGAAGGGACTGGACACGTTTTTGGAGGAAAGGCACATCCGTTGCTGTTGAGCACAGGAGCGCAGGGCACGCCTCTGAATCAGAGCTCCCTACACCTTAAATGCTGGAGGCTGTAAATGGGAGAGAAACAGTGGGGAAAAAACCTGGTCAGACCCTGTTCGCTCTCCCTTTCAGCATCCTCCCTGTGCTCTGTGACAGACCTATTTATTCAATGCATTAAGTTTACATGGGCTTAATGCCCGGAGAGCTATGGTTAGCCCCCCGCTGTTATTAGAAGGGGCTATTGAGTATACACCAACTATGTGACAGGAGAC